CTTCAACCTCTCCGGCACTTTATCCTGGAAAACCTTAACAGCATGCTGTAGGGCTATCTTCAATTCTGTCGAAACTGCAGTGTCCGATTTGACGACGTCTCCGTTATAAACCACGAGAGGCGGCGGGCAGGCAGGGGCTTCTGGAACCAATGTAGCCTTGTATCGCAACTCCTCGACGCACCAGTCTGCCATCGCGTCGGTAAAATCCTGGTCAACGGAACTAAGGACTTCATTTTTCCACTTTGCGGCGATCTCGGGGTTATTGATCTATCGAACAGTAAGTATTGGCTGGGGAGAAAACGACTGCACGAAGTCAGCAACTCACCTTAATATGCCAATCGGGTTTATCTGTTACGCTATTCATGAACTGAAGCATTGCGAATTCGCGAAGCGTCGTCATAGACATCCTAATCCAGAGGCACTATGGTCAGAGTCATATCGAATGAAGTCCAGATACACTTACGCGACTTCATGGTTCTTGATGCCCACGCTGCTCAGGGCATTCCTGAAGAGTTCTCCGGTGTAATCCGGGTCGGATTGCTTTGGAATATAGTTCAAAGGTCGGCCACAACCTGGAAGTAGAGCCATCTTCGGATTCGGGGCGGCGTGGCTCCTTGTGTCGTTGGTTCTCATCATGAAGTTGTAACGGATCGTTGAAGGCCCTCTTTTTATGTCGTACCTAGTGGGCTACATACAGGCCAGCCATTTGGAATCCATCGATTGACACAACGGAAGCAATACATCGGATTCATCCGACGATCCCTGACGATCCACGGTGGGGCATGCGTAATGGGCATCCATGGGGTATTGTCTGGTATTGTACATGTATCGTGCATTTGCAGCGAGGCATGACGGGGACGGAAGAAGGGCATTTCAAGGCATTTCCCGAAAGCCATTTCCTGTCCGCCGTCGGGCCGCAAGTTTTCCGAGCCTCAGCTTGATTTCCCAGGATCCAACCGCTTAACTTCCTTCGCATTACGGGTTCTCGTCGTTCCAATGTCTTTCCAAGGCGTTTCATTCCTTTCCTGGACGAGACGGAATTTTGGTTCAGACGAACAACTCACCGGTACTTATGCGTTATGCGCTCTTGTTAAGAGGCAACTCACAGACCCTTTAGAGACATCTTCGCAGAAAATGGTTTCTATCATATCATACCTGCCGTTTCCCATTCCCTTATCTCCGCGTGCATCAGCGACATGCAAAACATTGATTGGCATATGTGAAGGGTTTCGTCATGGATTATCAAAAAATCCAGAAACTGAACACTGAAGGCGACACCTCGTGGATCGAGATGTCCCGTGGCTTTGCACTGCCATGACACCGGAAAAACTACTTGAGCCTGGAGAACCTGCCAGCCGCTCTGACTTGTCCTGATACGTTTGAGTTTTTGGCCCTAGCAGACATGATATTATGTTCTTCCATGGCATACTTGTCGAGTTCAAGGTACATACTCGAATCTTGTTCTTCCTGTTGTTCTAAATTTCTACCCGTATAGGTTTAACCTTTGAGGAATTTCTCGCGTCTGGGATCCGAATTTTCAGCTACATTTTTCTTCTTCATAACTCCGAATGACACTAAGCACAAGCCAGAGGAGGGTCATGTCTTCGCGTGTTTTTCCCCCCTCCAACGAAATAAAACGCGTCGCGTCTTTTTATGACTCCTTCCTATATATCGAACAGATTTGGCCAACATCACGCGTGGCCCAAAGTCAATGTGTTCCCATGATTGCGAGTCGAGAGGAAGACTTGCTCTACTTACATAGTAGATCACCTCAATGTGCCCTCCTGTGCGGCTTTTGCGAGTCATTTTAACCGTGGCGTCCAGTAAGTGAACCGTGATATCTTCCATACATTGCCTGCCTTGACAACGTCCCATGTTACAGAATTTTGCCACCAAAATGAGTCAGATGGAGTCAACAGGCTCCATTCACTCACACCCAAATATCGCGAATGTTTCCTTATTGGGAAATGCCTGTACGGCCTCTTTGGCTGGCTCTTTAAAGCTTTACGTATGGTATGTTTTTTTATTCTGACTGGACGAAAGAAAAAGTCAATTTCAGTTCCACACTCTTTTTCCCCAATCCATTCTATAAACTCAGTGTGTGCTGACCGTGTTTCCACGATAAAGAGTCATGCGCCTGGATCTACGATCCGTGCGATATCTCTCAATAAACGCACGATCCCCGGGGAACAAAGTTCATGTGGCGGCGATATATACAGCAGCAGTATCCAACACGCTATTGTTCATCTTGGTCGTTGACTCGGGTGTCGGCCATTCGTCCACGCATCTCCCTTCCAACAGTCATATGAAACACAATTACAGCGAATCATCTCACCCGACCGTGTGTCTCCTAATTGACGCGTGTTCTTGGTATGCTGCGTAATCATGTTCGCCGCTCGTATAAAGCCAGAGCGTTTTGGCGGGTTTTAAAGTTCCCTCGGGCTCCCTCACAAATCTGTGCACCACATAACCTCTACGACGTCCCTCGAAGTCCTAACCAATCGTCCTCACGAATTATCATGGACTCCTTCGTCACCGTCACCGTCGTTCCCAACGTCGACTCCATTCCCACCAACGAGGAGACCAATGGTTCCGGAGGCAATGCCTACTGCGTCGTCGCCTGAAAGGCTCACGCAACCCAACTCGTAGTCGACGGAGAAAGTTGTTCCCTCACCATCCGTACGTTCGTTTCTTCTCTCCCCCATTTTCTTCGCTCCTTACGGTCTCGATCTGGTCAAACAGATTCTCCGACCTCGCAGACCCATCTTATTTACTCCGCCTGCATCATTGCATCCTCGCCATTATCATCATCGCCATTGACATTGTAATTCCGGATTGTTTATTTTATGAGAAGAAGGGGAAAAGTTGCCTCCCAGAGCGTTTTCTGGCGGGGTCGTAATTAACTAATATAGCACTTCGCTTTCTTCACCATTGCTATATTACTATGCCTTGTATTCTATGCAAGTATGAAATCTATGGTTATTTAATATGTACTGCGATGCTTCCAAGTTGTTCGTGAGAGATTCTCTCAAGAACTCGAGTACTAATCGTGATTATCGGAGCAGATTTCTTGTTGCCGTTTCGTGCATTGGTGGAGTCACACTTGTTTTTTTCCTTTTGAATCGGGACGGTGACATAGAGCGTGGTGGCGTATTCTACCGCAAGGACGCTTCGCCGAAATCAGATGACAGACGAACGCTAAATGCAACTCCAAACGTGTGTTTGTAAGAAAAACACGTATTCACGTCTGGAAAATTATGCTCTCACGTCGTCTCTGATTCGAGTCTATTGCGCAAAGCAAGCGATTTGGTATTCCACATGAAAGTTCCCAACCTCGAGGCCTGAATGACTCGTTGGGTATTAATAGCTGGGGAGTTTGACAGGGGGGGAATGAAGACTTCTTTGAACGATATCTGGTTACACTCGACTCATTCTCAGAAGACTATTGGGGCCACGCACATCTACCATCATGCTGCTACCATCTAATATTTCATGATGCGTGCAATAACACTCCGGCGAATTCAATGAACCGAAATTTAGAGTCATTATCATGATATTGTGTCATCAATGACACGAACTTGTGGCGTGCGCCGTACCGCAGTGTATTGAATCTGAACAAAAACCACGCACCCAGATAATTAGCAATCATTACAATAAGTAGATTCATGACGTTTAAACAAAAAAGGCGAACTCCTTATTAAGAATTAGTGAGCGTCGGGACAGGGTCTTTAATCAACAATAAGAATTCAATTGACCTGAAAGCTGTCCCTGCAATGTACTTTGTTCCTTTGCGCGTAGCACATTCGACCCTGATAATCGCGGGCCGGGCATTAGCGCTCGTGTTTGCCCAATCCGGATCAAGTCCGATATAACAATAAGAATTCCTCCGCATCTTACCATCGAGACGAAAATCAATATAATCCTAAACTCAAGACTCCCATATCTCAAGAATCGAAATACACATTACACCGATATTCATGAGGTAGAGTCAAAGTACCGGTATCCCCGCGACGGAGCAACCTACTTAGGTCACATTACCCCGAATTGGCAACGTTTCCTTATTGTTTTGTCCCCCCATGATATCACCATCATAGTCGGCTACCATAGGCTTTATTGTCTTTTGGTCGGTCTCGCCGAGAAAAGGCCTTACGGATCATAGCATAGGGATAACCTTACGCCAACATGTGTTGACAAGGCCGACATTGGACTGGACAACAATAAGTCGGTGGCGGCAAGGTTACACATGAATGACGAATAGTTACCGAATGTGTCCTTAGGAAATGACTTTCCCCGGTCTCTCAGGAAATATTTTGGGATCTGGAATCTCTCGTGTCAGGGGAGCGTTGAGTCGGAGGCGCATGTATATAAGAAGACGGCGAGGCCTTCAGTTCCTCCAGACCCAGTCGCAACCCACCACACCACCACCCAACCCACAAACTCCCTTCTTTGTCGTCACATTATAATGGACTCCTTCACCACCATCGTCTCCTTCTTCACCACCGCCCCCACTCAAGTCGAGGGCTCATCACTACCCACCAACGAGGAGACCGGAGGGTCTGGCGGAAATGCCTATTGCGTGGTTGCTTGAGCGTCTGGCGTTCAAGTTCCAAGTAATTCAAGCCATGTCTTATCATCATGGTACGCCGATTTTCTCTTCACCGAAAATTCCTTCACTTATCAAATCTTCTCTCAACTAGCACACTTTCGACTTTCATACTACACATGCATTTCATGGATTTAACGGATTTTTATGAGGATGGGAGGGATCATTTGCACGCCAGCAGTATTTGGCGGCGCATGGTATTTTATTAACTTCGCCTTCGATTGTTTGTAAATTTTTTTTGGGGGGGAGGGTTCGAGCCAATGAACGAAGGAGAACAACGCTTCGATGCAGCGCGTTCGGAAATGAGACGAGATTTGAAATTGAATCTGCAACGCTAACAGATCCGCTCCCCGCAAGTTGGCTCCACAAATTTGTTATCTGTGAATCCTTTTTCCATGGCGCTATAGTGTAGTGGTTATCACTCGAGATTTTGACGTTATGTAAATTTCTCGGAACCCAGGTTCGATCCCTGGTAGTGCCTTAAGAAAGCCCCTTGAGAAAAGGGCCTGTCATAAGCCCTCCAATTTTTTGGGTCCTTGAATCCTCTTTTTGCGTTTGGGAGGCTTTGGGAGGATGGATGGCCTTCCTTCCTATTTGGGGATGATCGACTGTTTGTTTAGTGGTGTGCAGCCAAACACCGGGAATGAAATAACGATGATGTCCTTGCCACGTCTGAACCCATCTCCTCAATGGCCGCTGCAGCACGCGCAGAAGCCCGTCGCAAGGCTATCCTCAGTCGAGGAACAGACCGACTGGCAAAACTCACAACCTCAGCTCGCGGCGAAGATGCGCCTGCGTACCTCCATGACGGTCCGTCAGTTCTTTTTTTCCCCGAATTTATTGAATCTCATCGTAATATCCAGATCCACCGCTTGTGAATTTACCAAGCACCAGCGCCCAGAGTTTCCTGGGCGAGGCGAGCAGTAACATGCCCACACCACGACGGCCGAGCGCATCGCCATCGCCCGCACCTCCGCCCAAGGAATCGCGCACAACTCCTTCTCGGAACGCCAACCTATTCGAAGGGACGAATGGGATTGTGCCGGATCCGTCTGTATGGCTCCCGGAGCAGCAGCAGCAGTTCATGCAGGCGCTGATGAACGCGTCGGGGGGTGCGCCGTTCCCTCAGTCATCGCCCATCGGTGAACCGTACATACCGCTTGACCCGTCTCTGCCGCCCATGGACAACCCTTTTGCTGCGCTACTGGGCCCGCAGGCGGGGGCGGGTGCTGGTGCGGGCATGTTTCCACCTTTTGGACCTGGCATGGCTGGAAAAGTGCCAGAGGAGGCGAAACCAAAAACGAAGCTGCAAAAGGCACTCCCGCTGCTGCACTTGATTGCCATGTGGTGCTTGTTGGCGTACTTTGTTCTGTGGGCGGAACCAAAAGCATTCAGTGAAGCGACGGGCGAGGATGTTCGAGTGTCCGCTGTTGGGCTGTTCAAACGATGGGCGGCGTTGGGCACGCAGAGTCCTGTGCTGTATAATGCGAATGAGATGTTCCGAATTCATGTGGTGGTGAGTAATAATTCTCCTTGTTCAAAATTGCACAATGTTGATATGGTTATTTGGCAGCCGTTCTTCTGGGCATTCACGACCCTCCAGATTGCGCTGCATTCCTTGCGGATATTCTCCGGATTTGTGAGTCTGCGAGACTTTTCAACGTATTCCATAAGCTCATTTTATCTATAGGATGCTGTTCAACCACCGACGCTCGTGGCGTTAGCGCTCCCCCATCTTCCACCACCTCTACCATCTCTCATCGTGAATGGCATGAAGTATATGCAAATGGGATCACTCTTCCTAGACGATTTGTCAGGACTTGTGGTTGGAATGGGCTTCATCATGTATTTCTCCGGGTGGATCTCCACGGTTGATTAGACAATGTTACTGTTATTGTATCCTCACCCATTCGCATTAATGTATATATTTAGGTGGACGAATCTCGTTGTAAGGGTCCTGTGGTTTAAAAACCGTCGTCGGAAGGATGAGGACGCGTCGTACAGCGTTTGTGTCGGGCTTCCGCTGCCCTGCGGGTTGGTGATCATGACCGCGTCTTCATAAATTCCTTCAATGACGGCAGGGGCTTCGAGTCCTTCCGTGTGCTTTGCTCTATATTCTGGTACACCGTCGATCCAGGTAGCACAGGCACTCCCGTCCTAGTAGCTTCCGCGACGTGTTGCTTCCATGGGTCCCCACCAGCAAGATCCATAAGCTCTTTCAAAATCGTCGTTGACCATTTGTCCTGCAAATCCAAAGCTTCTATTTTGCCGTTCACTGCTTCGGCGGTCAGAGAGACTACGGTAGATTAGTCTTGGAAGACGTACCGAGCTCGACCTCTAGCTCTGGCCTCCACTGCTCCTTTTCTGTTTTTGGTACCTGCTTCACCTGGATATCCAGATTCGGGTTGGCGAAGCGTATCCGCGGTAAATCTTCTTTTAGGAAATGCCTATCAGAGGTGGGAAGGGGAAAAATAACGTGTAAGCGAGCTTTTCATACACGGAAGTCCCAATAAGGACCACCACCACGACGGTGAAGGGGAAAATTCTCACCGAGCACCAAAGTGGTCGTTCTTGGATGCCAGCGACAGGCGGAGAGTCTTCACGCCTGTGAGGACGAGTTTGGGGGGTGCTTTGAGGTGGGTGAGGAGTTTTTGCAGACGGATAACACCAGCGGGGACGGTGGCTGATTTGGAGGCCATTTTGGAAGGAAAGGACTTGCAGGTACTTGACTGACTTCGAGGTGTGGACGGGAATGGCGGCACGAAATTTCAGGTGTTGGCGGTTGTTAGGTTTGGTGGCCGTTGGCCCCTACTTGTGATTTACCTCCCCCACACGACACGAGCGCCGGTTTGGCGCCAGTTATACCTTTAGCGGTTTATAATAATTATATGGCAGCAACTTTCTGCCGGACGAAATGAAAGGAGGTCCTGGAATTTCTGAGGTTTTTAGGGAGCTCTTTTTGCAGATAAGAAGCTACAGCATCCAGTGCGGTACGTGCTCTGCTAGTTTTGAAGTACTAATTATAATACTTAGGCTTCGGAAAAGAGTGAGCTGAGTCCTCTCACTCCAGACCGCACTAGGGATTCAAATGGTCCAAGAAGTAAGATAATTTGAATGTTTTTGAGCAGGCAGGAATGGTGCATTAGGTACCTACTACCGATGACTCGGACACGGAGAGATTTCTCATGGAGTACACTTACATAAAAGTAGATACATGGTGGATTCCGTTCGAAGAGCAGTCAAAGGGCCAACTGGGCCTACTTCAATCAAAAATTCGACGAATCCGCGCTGTGCGTCATACTGGATCCAAATTTAGCACAAATACGAGTTGCGCAAGAAAAATCCCATTCCAAACATGAATACCGAACCTATGCGTAGCCCAGAACGAGAACAGAAGCAGGTGCGGGTAGGCTGAGACCGGAAGCGTCCCCGACCCCTGTCCTCCTGAGCCCCAAGTGCCGTTGGAAGGCGGGATACCCGTAAAGGCGGTCGTGAAATGAGGATCTAGACAAGATGAAGGTAGTCAATGCAGATCAGACTTTTTTCTAAAGGGAAGTCATCGCATTTAAACAGCAGAAATGAAATAAAAATGGCAGCCTTGTGAACGACCCAATTTATACCTGGCTGTAGGTAGCACCAATTTAAATAGCTCGCCTTCCTGCCCGTATGTCTACCTTGAAACATGCGACCTGAATGTGGCGACTTCGGAGTATGTAGACAACAGAAGAAAAGGATGAAAAGAAACCATGGAGACCGTAGTTCTTTCATGACCAGGATAGCAGACGAGGTCCCATATTGTCTGGGTTGTTTTCCTTGGGGACATAGGAGAGGAGGAGTCTTGGACGACAAGGGTATGGACAAAGGATGGGAAGACGCAAAAGGGGAAATCAGAACCAGAATGTGGAGGGTCGCCCACATTTGCGGCTGGACGATGTGAGGAAGGGTTTCCATAGCTGGAGAAAATTGTTCGACATCGGTGCGAAGGTAGGGTGAGAAGCCGGCTGAAATTCCATCGGTGGTCGTCTCGACTGCTCTGAAATCTTCGGCGTAGGATGGATGTCGAGAACCCGGTTTATTTCATTCTACCTGAAAGTATTCAGAATGAAAAATTCCAGGTAGATGCGAACCTCCGAGCCGTCATTGTCCGTTGAAAATCCGTCCATGGGTTCCACCGTCCCAGAATTCCGGCGAGGGCTTGGGGTATGAGACGAGAGGATTTAGAGAGGGAATTTAGAGAGGGAATTTAGAGGCGAGACCAATGTCTGAATTTGAATCACCGCCGCTGTTGGCCCATTGTTTGTCTTCCTTTCCACAACGATATTTCCTGTCCATGGCCCTCAAATTCAATCCGACAATCCTCGATGATGGGTAGAATTCTCATACCTTCATAAAGAGCGTCGGCACCCGGAATAATATTTTATTGAGCGACTTGTTCGTCCTGGGACCCCCCATACCTGGTCCGAGAGGTTGGCCCCCTAAAACTTCTGTTCAAGTGAAATTGCGTCGGCGATTCACTAGTCATGGCCTTCCAGTGTAGAAAGGACGAGCTCCAAAGGAGGGACGTGCACTGGGGGAAATAGGAAAGAAGGATGTGTCGGACCAAAAACACCACAAGGTGAGTTCGGGCTCCATCGTCGACGGGTCCAGCTAGCATCCCTAATTTCTGGACCGATAGAACGGTGACCTTTCTACCTCGGCTTTCACCAACAAGTGGATGACAGGACGAGGCGGCTTGCGCCGAACACATTCCCCTGTCCGGAGGTTCATCGCCTCATCATCAAGATGGAACTTCGTTCTCATCCATTCTAGAGGACATTGTCCACAGACTGTTCGGAATATCGCAAACACGGAAGATTTGGCGCTTGAGGATTGTCTTGGGGATCCAATCTTTGGCGGTACCGTTGATATCTTGAAGTCACACAGGTGGTCAGAAAAAAATCCCCTTGGGCGGACATCCATTGTCTCTTGGTCTTCATGTCATAGACGAGCCTAGTCCTTCCAAAATTCTTCCAGCCTTCTTCTGGACGAAGGCAAAGGATACCCATCCACATCGGAAACTGGCAAAGGCCGCAATTTCTCTTTTTTCTTCGGACAAAATGGAACACGGCTGGATATATCCTTCCTCTATCCCAGTCGCTGTGTGCTCCAATCCCTTGGGCGGCGTCCCTTCTGCCTGGACGGATTGATACTCCTCGACCGCGATTTCCATCCGTGACAGTTACACGTAACGGTCACACACAGTCAGTCGTCGCAGGAGAAAAAAATGCAGCACAAAGTGGTCGCCATTGAAAAAGGCAGGTTGGGTGCGTCGAGATTCAAACGAAGTTTGCGGCAGGATTCCAAGCCTTAAGTTTGAGTATTGGGGGGTTTGGAAATTTTACATCGCGACCTATCCACCATCCTAGGGCCAGACCAGCTTGATCAAGCCTCGAGATACCAGAACGTATTCTGTGTCCAATAGAGGTCGAATATGAAGCTGTA